ATACCCACAAATACCCCTTTCTCCTGCCTTTTCTTCTTCCTCCTCCCGGTCCGGAGGCGGGCGACCGCTCTCCGCATTGGCTGCAAATCCGTAGCTGCCGGCTGCAGTAGCGCTGCGAGGCGGGCCCCGCGCGGGGAGTTGGCTTCCCATCTCCCAGCTCGGCACACCCTTAGCACTCACTCACACACACACACAGCTTTCACGATCCAGGATCAGCTTCCGCGCTTTTTCTCACGATTGATACATTCGTTTTTTGCCTTTTTTCGAATTCGAAGTTTGAACGGCACTCGGTCGGAGCAATGATTGCCCTCACCTGCAGAAGAAGAAGAGCGGCATCGATTATCCTGTCACTGTTGCCCATATTCGAAGGAGCTGTTGCGGGCTGCGGATAACGCAGAAGCTTGTTTCGAATTTTGAATGGCCTTGGTGAGGACGACAGGGACCGGGGCCCTCTCGCTGCCTCGGTCTTGGCTCCCCTGCTTTTGAAACTGCCGCGTCTTATTTTTCAAATTCGCTTTGGTTTGAAGTCCCGCCCTTGCGATGTCGATGCTCTGGTACTTTTTCCTTTCTTTTTTTTTTCTTTTTTTTTCAATTACTTTTCTTTTATTCCTTTGCGACATTCATGATTTGTATTATGTAAGAGAAGACGAAATCATTTGCATGGATTATTGATCAATTATTATATCTCGAGGATTTGTATGTTTTGGCTACTGGTGCAATAAATAAATAAATTAATTAATTAATAAACTAATGTATTTTTATGAATTGTGTGAAGAACTTTGTGGTTGTTAATTCACGTAGTATTGATAATTTTATCACAACTTAACAAGACAAAAAAATTTGTTCTACGCTTCGTAATCTAATTCATTAGGTAGTAGAGATTTAGATTTTTAATTGTGCTAATTTTTTTGTACTAATTATTAAATGATTGCCTTGGAATGTAACACCACTAAAAATAATGTAAAAACGTTTTGGTAACTTGATTACAAGATGTAGCTCTAAAACTGAGAAGAAAAAAATGGTAACAAAAGTAAAAATAATAATTAAAATAATTAAAATAATCACAATAATTTGATTAAATTTAGATTCTTGTGAGACATAATTGCATAGAGTAGTTGTAATTACAATGCCAATTTTTTGGCAATTATATAGAATAAATATAATGACAAGACATAACTTATAAAACTTATTCTTTTTGAATATTAAGTTTCTCAAAGGCTAAAAAAACTTACCATATGTTAAAATTAATAGAATCTGTAATAATTTTATAAAAAGATATGTATGTTATTTAAATTATAATAATTAAAATATTTAACAGTTTATTTATTTTTTTAATTAAAAATTTATTTAGATATTTCCATAATAGATTTTTTTATTTTGTAATAATATAAGGCTATATATCAATCAAATATTATCTAATATTTTATATTGATTATGTAGGTTAATAAAGTATGGTGAAATATCATTTTATATGGTAAAAAGGATTGAGATGTTTAGATAAAATACTTATTAAATATTAAAGAATTATAATGTATATCAAATAGAATAAGAATCAAATAGGAAATTTATTAACTAAACAACATTACTGATAGTTGTTTTTCTAATTTGTATAATTTATTTAAATAAATTTTTAGTATGTTATAACAAAGATTTGATTGGTTGTTTTGCTGTAGCCATTTCTTTGTGAATGATGTGGTGTAAAAATTATTCTTGCAATACATTAATAATCAATCATAGTTTAAATAAACAAATTAACAGTTTACTTGATCTATCCACTAACCAAGTGCAACAAAACATCAAACTTAGTGATAACTTATTTACACTATATATATATATATACATATATATTATAAAGATGCCTTTGGTTTAAAAAAATAATTGAATAATCAATAGTTCTAAGTATCAGGTAATAATCAATGGATTATGGTTATTTAAAAAAATATGTATATATATATCAAGAGTTTATCTAATAAATTAATTACACAAATAAAAACATAAATAACTCAAAATATAAATCTACCAGTTTGTTAGCATTGGTTGCAATTTCTATAATAACAATACGTATGTTAGTGCATGATTAACTCATAATTACTGACATTACTTGCACGACTTTGTTCCACATGATGTTAGAAAGAAATACCTTCTAAAAAGTGCCATCTATGAGTTTAAGGAAAGAGATATTTATTAGCAATATATTTATATTTTTGCAAGTAAAAATAAAAATAAAAATAAAAATAAAAATATATCATATGACTATTAAATAATATATATACATATATATATATATATATGTATTACATATTATATTCATATTTTTATTTTTATAGATTTTGCATAATATGGTAATTACCAATTAAATAAAATTTATTTAGTTGTAGTGGTTAATAATATACTAAATTATGGTGAACAAGTTAAAATTGCCTAGTATGGTCGAATTATTATTTGAAAATTTTCTAATTGGTATTTGAGATGATACATTGATGTTGTTGTATTCTTGTAAAGTTTAATAGAACATAAGAATTTTATATTCTATAAAAACAAGTGAGTAAATAAATATAGATTGTTATTAGACCTAATACTTAGATTTTTTAACCGTCTTTGGGGACGTGTGGGAACATGTGGGAACGGGTGGAACCTGTCTCATATTATATGTTCCCATCATGCTCCATTGAAATGGACGTGGAATTCCAGGTTTAATGTTTGTGTTTATGTGAGGATTAAAATGAGTTCCTCATTTAAAATAAGTATATTTTTTGAGTTGATTGGAAGACGGTGTAAGAGAGTGGATTAGTTGCTTGAGAGTCAATAAAGCATTATCTTTATTTATAATTATTTATAATTATGTTTCAAAGTAAATGAGAATAAAAGATATGAAAAATATGATTTACTACCTTGTGTGGGTTTTTAGAGTTTGTAATTGTAACAAATGCGTTTCTTTTAAGTTTATTAAATATATGGTATCAACTATCTTAAGAATGGGGTAATGTGAGACATGTGTAATATTTGTAAAAACCACATGAAACGAGTGCAAAAAAATACATGAAAGTATTTATTTTAAGTAATTCTTTGGGAAAAGTTACAACATAGAAGTGTGAGTGAATCACGTTGAATTACTAGATTTATAAAAATCCAAACATTTTTATCAAAGAACTGTGTATACATACATATACATATAATAACAAATATAACATTGCATTATAATTTAACTCGTCATGTAAAGTGAATTGAAAAAAATATCTATAAAATCAGATATGTGTTTTTAAATTAATAATAAATTACAACCTGTGTTGAGATGTCAAGGAGGAAGATGAATATTATAGATAATTATATTCATCATTTATTTTAGAGATATTCAAATTAGTTTTGAGGTCTTATTATTTGTGCTCGTAAGAACTAGAGTATATTTTTTCATTAATATTCTCTTTTCAAATATTGTTATGTATTTATTTATTTATATTGTTTATATAGTAAACTATTTGATAAATTTTTTGAACATAATTTACCATACTTTTTGAGTGTTATAAAATGAAAATGTATTTTTAATGGAATGAGATGGAAAGTGGGGCTTTACTTGGTAAAACATACCATCTAGCTTTTTGTTTTTTGGCTATCAAGAGTTATATCAAAAGTGCATGATTTTAATGTATATTTAAAAATAGTTGTATAGATGCCTTTGAATGTTCCCCATTAAAGAAATGCCTAGATTTGCCCTTGCCTTTTCTAAAGCCCACAAGAAGCTTTGTCTTATTGCTTTAAAGAGATAGGTAGAAGAAGTTTAGAGTTTTATATATGGTGAAGACCTATTATTATGATTTATCATTACTATTTGGATGTTAAAAAATATTCTTTGAAAACATATAAATTGGTATATTAGTGTGTTGAAATATCATGCATAACATAATTAAAAATCAAGAAATATAAAAAAAATCTTATTTTATTTAACTCCATCCGTTCTATCTTGCTTTTATATATTAACATATGACCTTTGAAAAGTTTTTTACTTTTATAAAACACAACTTAAGAAGGCTTTAAATGTTAGAGTTGTTCTAAGTCATTGATAGTTGTACTTTGATTCCTACCACAATTTTTCTTTTAGTTCCAAAAAACCACCACATAAACACCTTCCTTTAAAACACCCCCCTTTAATTGCATGGACAACCTCTCCATGCCCTTGCATATATACCAGAAGACTTTTAGTGATACTAATTTTTTTCATGGTAACTTCACTAAAAAATATTTATGTGCAATAAAATATACATATATTCACATGATTTTCAAATTTTTATAATATATTTTACATAGTTCTTTCATTCACTTTAAAAGCTTATTACTTTCAATTAGAGAATCTCTTGCTGTAAATTTATTGTAATTTTTTTTAGTATAAATAAGAGATTTGCTGTGTATGCGGGGGTGCATGGCATTGGGTGTCCACAAAGTAAAATGAAGATGTCAACCTAACAATTCACTAGTTATGTTTATTACAATTCTCATAATTAAAAAAAGGTTATTAGTTTTAGGAACCACTCTGTGTTATTATTTCCATGCTAGTTGATGAAGTTGAATGAGAATGAATAAAATGTTTACAAATTAAAAAAATGAATGTTGCAATAATCTGTTTGTTTCATGCGAAATTAGTTTAGAAATCTCATTTAGTTATCTTAAATAATGCCTGAATACTTTATTCTATCCAACATTTAAAATTACATTGTACAATCTTGACCAATAGTTCCATACATAATACTATGATTAGCCACGAACTTCACTATTATTAGCCTGCAGTAAATTATGAGCCAATCAATTCTTAACAGTACAAGCATTGAACTCCAGAACAAAATTTCCCCAAAAAATAGTTAATTCTATCACTACTCTCTTCTAGGATTGAATCTGCTTCAGGTAGTATGCTCAATCATGCACTATCATAAGTTGTATCAACTGATGATTCACCACCAGCATGAGAATACAAAATTAGTGTCACGTTCAAAAACTAGAAAAGAAGGATATAGATAATAGCAGTAATAATTTATACGTTCCAACAACTGCACATTAGTAGCATGAATGAGATGATATTAAGCACAAGCTTCATTGGTTCCAATCGTCCTACTTTGGGAACATCACACATTAGAGAAGCAGGATAATCTTACTCACCCACAGCATCTAAGCAATGAGCAAAGTTGGGTGATACCGTATTCATAAAACGTCAATTGTCCAGCCATAATTGGCACGTGCATTTCTAACATGTCTCCATCTAAGCCCCCGTGAACAATCTGTCTCTCATTTTGTACAATCTTCAGAGGTGCTCAATACAGAGCAGTATTTGGACATTATGAGTTAGGGCCTGCTCCTGTATGACTTCTGGAAAGCCTTCAGCAGAACATCGCCAACACCTTGAGTAAAGCAGCAATGAACTCCAGTTGACATTCCTGGTTGATAAAATGGAATGAAGGCACATGAACAAAGAGACTCTTCACACCACTCACTTGCGCATGACGCAATGAGTGATAATATACATAGTTACAGACAAAGCGGCCAGCATCGTAAGACTCCATCACATTGAACCCCTCCTTGGATAAGGCGCTCACAATATCCCTTATTGGTAGCGTTGTCTGTAAAATTCCATTAACATGGGTCTTATATCAACGAAAGATACTCAATGAATGTAAAGAACTAGTAGCAAAATGGAGCATTTTAATGAACCTGATTAACAAATCAAAACGATGAAATCAAGTGATTTACATGCAGGATTGAAGATGGGTACCTCACGAATAAAAGATGTTGGACCATCTTCTGGAACAATAGGCACTCGCTGCAAGGAAAGCGCAAAATTTACATGCAAATCAATTCCAAGTTATAAGCAATGCAGAAGACAGGTAAAAGAAATCCAAAGTCTACACGAATAGTGCAGAATTCTAATCAGAGAGAAACTAAAATCTAAAATCAGAGTACCACCACCCTGTTTCCTGCCTTGAGTTTCGGTGAATGTGATGTTAAAGACAAACCTGAGGTTGCCAACCAAGTTCATCGGAACAACCAAATGTGGCTTCATTCACAGCACGCCGTTCTACAGAAAAATTATTAGAAGCAATATTCACACCAAGATGAACCTGCACAAGAGTCAGCGGACAAAACACAAATAGCTCTTAGATTGACGACAGACTTCTCCATATTCCTTTATCTACCTTTTCGGATAAAGAGAAGATAACTTCCGCTTATTCCACGATAGGAAAGCATCACTGCAACTCCATCGCAACTATATGAAACAGTAGAAAGCCAACCAACTGATTGCTCTGACAATCTGTCCACTATTTCCTAAAGGGGTCACTGGCCAAGAAAACATGAACATTTTATAGCTTTGAGAGTAGAACACCATGAATTTACACAATCAAATCAAACAATATAATTAGGCGAACTACTAAAGTCTATATGCTCTAAAGACATTTCTTACCCAGACGATGCGCTTTGGAGGAACGGACAATGAACCACCACCCAGCTTTACGTCTCCTGAAGCTCCAGCACTCATAATTAAGGGCTTTTCAATCTCCTCGTGGGATGAGCTGAGTAATTGCAACAAGGGATCCAGGGCACCCTTACCTGCAGTTTCCAAGACAGTGCAACTTCCAAGTTGTGTGCCAGGGGCCATCCCATGCTTTCTCGAGTACTCTTCGATCTTGCCAACTAGTATCTCTGTTGGATTTTCAGGAACTAGATGGAATTTCCTGAACCCAGTAATGTGGAACTCAATCAACTCTGAAGCTTCTGAGCCCATCTCTTCTGGTACAAGCGCAGTGCAAAGCACACCACTCGAATTGCCTACTCAGCAGCTTGCCACGCTGGTCCAAAGTGGACTCATTTCTGCACCACACACAAGCATTCCGTAACATTAGCAAACTGCCAACATCACGGGGTGATCCTATGTAAGGTATCATAACCAATGCTGATGGTTTTCCCAACCCCAGACCCCTATAAACAGGTGAATAATTAAGGAACGAAAGCGATGATAGCTCCACTGTTGTCAGTGCATGAAAGATCCTAACGAAAGCGCTCCCTTTATCCTGTGAATCCATTCTTTTGGTGTGCAGAAAACTTAAATATTCTCCTCCAGTATAGAACAGCAATGTTCCACAAAAGTAGAAATAGCACCGGTTACGTAAACAAAAAAAAACAGAAAAAAAGAAAAAACGAAAAGGCATTGTAACAATATATCACTCGAGTAATATTGAATGATGGTCTGTGTTGCATCCAATTGAGAACTCTGAAAAACCCATTTTTGAAGCACGCAGTCATGGTTACTTGACTCCACCCAATGACAATAGAAAGTGCATGCGAGAGATCTATCAGAATTGTACGACCTGCATTGCAGATTGCTCCAAGACAAGCGCATAAGAAGGTTCCTAAAAACTCCCGATTTGATTCGGATATCCTCAAAGTGTACAAGTGAACGAGGTACATTAGGAACTTTTGGATTCAAAGCATCACAATCAAAGCACCCAGCAACGAATACTGAGCATCAAGAAGCAATATAGATGGGCATTACACGAATCACCCTAGATGCAGGATTGCTTCATAGCAGGACAAACTAATTCTTCACCTGATATCGTATGAACAGAAAAATTACATGCAACGACAGGGTAAAGACGAAAAACATTGTTTACCATGTTTCCGCAAGCAAACCAGACGAATTCACAAAACATTCCCTAATCTTGCACACAAGCCAATTTAGCTAACGGTCTCTAACACAGAAATTCCTCTTACACATGCTGCTAAAGCCAACGCCTGACGACAGTGTAAACGCGAACCGAAACTGTGAAGCTTACTCAACTGTAAATGGAATGTAAATTGCATTCAACGGAAATTTACATGTTCAAGAACATCTGTCCCTTTTGAAACCACATCCACTACCAAGCAAAGGAGACGATCTAAATGGAAGAAAAGACTGGTTCACACCACCGCGGCAAACGTGATGCAATGGCATTTGGGTTCAAATGTTTCGGAATCCCAAAAGCTTCTCAAAACGAATCCTTCGAAAATACTTAAACACAGACAGGTGCTTCGCGATTGGGTGGTGTTCTCACCTAGCACATGGAATCCAACACCGACTCATAAACAAGATCCAACAAAATTCGACTTCAAAATAGCGAGTGAGCGGGGATCTAAGAAGAAAATCAAGCAAACCTGGGTGAGTCATCAAGCTCCACGGATTTGCGCCACAAACACGATGGTCCTCACCAAGAAAATGGGCCCTGATCACGCCGGATCGAGATCGACGAGGATGCGGAGATTATACAACAAGAGTGAGTGTCACATGGATATACAGCAACGAGAGTTGATAAGACCCCATTATGGAAGCAGCCACCAGCTTCGACCGACACGAGAGATCCTCCTCGTGTCGCTTCGGCGGACGTTTCGTCGGTCATCGTCGTCGTCGACGACGACGAGATCACGGACGATCGAGTTCGTTCAGGTTCGTTCAGGTTCGTTCATGTTCGTTCGCGTCAGCGCTGACGAACGACTCCGTCGATCATTCTGCATTTCCGTCCACTACTGAAGGCTCAAAGCTAATTTGCGCCCGTTACGAGAAGGTTATGTTATGGTTGTTACACTATTGATGTGAATGAAACGTGGGAAGAAAATTTTGAAGTAACTTTTATCTAAAATTAAATCAACCTAACCATAGTATGCTTTTTAAAATTTAAAATTTTAAATGTATGTATGTGTATATATATATACATACATACAAATACATACACATACATACATACAAAGAAACAATTGGGTGTGGTTTGTGAATTAGGGTACCTTGTGAGAAGTTTGAAATTAAATATAAAAATCATTAAAATGGGAATAAATAGAAAAATAAATGTTAAGAAGTATTGTATTATGTATAAACTTCTAAAGTTCCAATGCATATATTGGTAATTTTTTCAATTATGGTTGTTAGGTCTAATATGTTAGAGCATGATAAGCCTACAACTTTAGTTGGTATATATATATATATATATATATATATTAGTTTCTTTTGAAAAGAATTGATTGTTATTTAATTTTAGGATTTTTTTTAATATACATGATTTGAATGTGTTTTAAATTATTTATGAGTTTTCAAAACCAAAGTACAACTTTTGATGTTTTATTCAATATCTATTATTGTACATAGAGTACCAAATCAAAATTAACTTAAAATTCTAGTTTATTTCTTTATTTCTTTATTATTTATTTATATCTCTCTTGTATCCTTTTAATGTAATATTGCATGTATAGTTTAAATAACTAGTGAATTAAGTTTGAATTTCTTAATTATAAGTTCATAGTTTGATATTTTGTCTAGTAATGGTTGTTAAATATAAATTGCTAGAACAAGATACATCTAAATTTTTTGTTGATTTTTTGTTGATTATTTATTTATTTATTTATTTATTTTTGATCTTTCTGATAGAATTCTTATGATATCTTATATTTTCAATGTAAATCAATAAAAAAGTAGTTGTGAAATGCCAATGTTTAGGTATATACTTTGATATTTTATTTAATAAAGTTTGCTAGACCTTCACTACTAATGCAAAGTAGATCTAAAATCCTATTTGGCAACTTTTTTCCTTGTAGAACTTTTGCTTGGCTTTTTAAGTCTATTTTATATGATGGATTTGATTACAAATATATAATGAAGTAATTATTTTTTACAATTAAAATAATATAAAAAAAATGAAGATTATTTAACAGACAAATTACTTAGAGGTGTTAGAATTACTCTTTTTTTTAATAAACTTGTGGTTGCTTTTTATAAAAGAGAAGAAATAATTACCACACTATTCTATAGCTCAATAAAAGAATTATAGATTAAATTGCTAATTTATTGGTAACAAACAAGAGATGAATTAATGATCTTTTTTTACAAAATAAAATAAAAAATAAACCTTTTTAAGCAATAAAAAGTATATTTTAACAAAGTAAAATGATAAGGGTTGTAATCTTTAGTTCATTGTTTTCACTATTAGAATTTTATTTAAAAATTAAAAAAATAAATTACAAATATGGTTATTTAGTACCATCAAATGATACAAAGTATAAATGACTACTGAATGAAACTTCAAAATTATTCACAAAACTTCAAAGTGATTATTCATGCACCACTTGACTAAAAGTCTAGCTAGTAAGTGAATTTTTCAATGGCACATGCTCTAAGACTGCCTTGAAGAGGGTGCTAGAGAATACATAGATGTATACATACACACATACACTTTTACAAAATCAATTATTTTGGATACACAACAATATACTATCCCCACAATGTTATGAAACAAAATCCACATCAAAATCTGATTTTTGCACAGTCTAGGTGGGCCACTAGCTTGACTGTAGTTCCCGAACCACTGCGGCGGATTTCACAATCCCCTGAAAGCCATTTGGAGGCGCACGCCCCAAGTCTGCCTTGGGGTGGGGGTGGGGATCTAAAGCCTGCAAGTCTTGTGCTATTCTTTTTCTTCAGCTCTGACAAGACCTCCTAGTTTAAGTAAAAATACAACAGAGACCAGTTAACAAGTGCTTTCTATTTACGGCTGCTTTCTGAAGACCCCTTCTGATCTGTTGGTTTCCGGTTACTTGCTTGTGCGGGGCTTTGTGTCAGGGCTTCACTCGGCGGCGTTTCTGGCCTAAATTTGACCACTGAAGCAGGAGACAAGGAACTTGATAGGGATATCAGACTGTTTAGCTCAAACCCAGAAATCAGGGGCTCACGATTTGGCACTGTTTCGGCATATTTGATGAGTTGAGTTGTGTGCTTAGTGCAGATTTCATCATTTAGAAACAGTGGTGTGATTTTTCTACTCTACCGGTAGTTTGGGTACTTGTGTAATTATAGTAATTGTTTTTGCCCTCAGTGAGATCTAGCTCCGCCTGTTAAGTGGGAATTACGTCTCCAGCAGAAATAAGATATTTTTGTGCTTAGTGCCATTGTTTCGTTTCATTCCTGGATTTTTTTGAGAGGAACCGGTTCCCTCTTATAACATCAATGAACCACTTTCTGGGCTTCTCATGTTCACAAGTGGTATTGTAGAATGCAGCATGCGAGACTTGACCACGATGCGAATCTAGAGTTGCGAATCTGCAGTTGCGAGACTGATGGATGCAAGTTTATCCTAAGGCTCGAAATGTGTGCATGTTAAAAAACGAGGGAAAAGAAAAAAAAAAGAAGAACTGCGTCTTTTTATTTGAGGATACTTCAGATTTTGAATAAGTACAGCTTTTCCTCATGATATATACGAGTGGACTGTCTTTTTCTTTGATTCTGTTTCGGTTGAAGTGCAAGTTCCTGGTTATGCTCGCTCGTTCCGCGATCTTCCTCCACAAGTTTTTAAGAACATGCTGACTTTTGCACTTGTAATTGGATCATATTCTATATAGATAACCGGAGTGTTCAAGTGCTAAGCTGAATTGAAAAGATACTTAAATTACCTCCAATTTATCCTCACTTGTGTTGTGCACAAGCTTCAACTCTACCACACGAGATTCTAAAAGTTGTGAAAGTGCCCCATTCATGCTCTTGAGAGCAGCTTTGAGGCAAAAGAACATCCACGATGGCAATGCAGGAAATCCAACGAGAGATTCCTCACTGGGCAAAATCCATTTCTGCAGCTCTGTCCAGGAAGACATGACAATTGTCAGAAACTGCAGGAGAAACTCAACTGGACACAATAGATGCAGATTTACCTGGTTTATGTATGGCTGAATGTGCGATTTCGCAACCATCTGATGGGCAAGTGGCTTCGCTCTTGTCCAATAACTTCCCTACAAGCAGAATTACTCACAGTCGTGCGTGCGGGGAAGATTTGCAATTTACTTCTACTTGATTTCCGGAACCCACACTGCTACAATGATAAGGATAGGAGATGGCTCACTTTCGGGTTATATCTTTTGGAGATCTCAATGTATGCGTATGGTTATTAATTCAACACAGCCATTGTTGTCAGATGAGAGCGATTCAGCTTGACGGTGTTGGGACATAAACCATGGAATTGTACAAAATTTTTGTCTCCTTTCACAGGCTCGTATACGTCCATCCCTCGAGTATTGAGTGGAAACTAACATATAGCTTCGCGCTCAAGTCCAACGCGGGGCCGCACGCATCCGAACATTTGAAAGGAGTCAAGTTTCTCGGTAATTTTCCCTTGTCTCTTCATGTCGCACAAGTAACTGTTCCTCCACAGGGTCTCAGTGGATGATATCCAGCTGGTTTGCATCTGCGTACAATAAACAGTTAGATTGTCCAACAATTTTTGCTTGAGAACAACATTAGCAACGATTGCATACACCATTCCTCACTTGCAAACCAAGAGCTTCATAATTTTTGTTCGAAGGCATGTTATTGCTTATGGCACTTGAAAGAGAGAAGGTGATCAAATTAATATCTTACCTCAAGGAATCTGCTCATCTCCGAAGAACACAAGTATAGCTCCACAAGAATCGTTTGTGCACCCATTTGCCTCCCAAGCCAGTCTCACACATTATCGGCATCGATCAAGATCAAATTGATCTAGAATCGGTCCACGGCTACTCTGTAATACTAAGAGACCTCGGATCATCCAAAATGTCAGACAGCGAAGGAGCCTACTCGGAGGAGAGTGTGCCTGAAACGGGCTCGGCCAACGACTTCTCGCTTCTGTGTTACAAACTTGTGAAGGCGGCTGTTTATACTCACATGCGACCATACGATCTCAGTGCATGCCAATGTACTGTCTTAGTGTATACCATACGTAAATTCGATGTATACGTGCATATTGAGATGAATATCGGTGAAGAGAAACCAGGGACCCTGTCGGAACTGGAAAATCCCCTTCCAAATTTCTTCAAAGAGATTCCCTCAAGATCAGAGCCACCTGGATATTTCTACCATTTGTTGACTGATGCAAATCGCCGTTGATGGGATGAACCCGACTCATACCGGTAAACCCATCCTCAACCCATACTGTGATCTTCTGCCAAGCCATTACTAAACTCAGGCCGAAGTTGGGCCCGACCTTCTCCTTCTGTTCTTCTTCTTCTTCCTTGTGATGTCTAGTGTTGCTTGTTCGACAAACAGAAATGCATAGCAACGATGAAGCTTAGCTTGTGTTTGCTGCGAGAGTCACCTCTTGCAAGGTATTATCCTTCTGTTGCTTTAGTCGATCCAAATATGAGATCTTACCACGACCAACATGGCGCCCTATGAGTTCAAAAGCCGGTTGGCGGTAAGTGACCACAACTCAACTGTATCGCTCCAGAGTTTTCCACCGCATTCAATTTCTAAGTGACCTTGGTTGTGACCGCTGCGGGGCCAGCTTTTGCATGCTCTTTGCGTACCATGCACGGTTTGCGAAGCTCGTAACTCGTATCTAGTTAGTATCAATCTGTCGCAGACTACGAACCTCTAATCTTCTAGCTCCGAGTGCACAGTCAAATAATTGGATGTTCTTTCCAAGAATGGATGGCATGGTCCCAGCAATCGAGCAACCAATCTCCCCAGCACTGAGCTCAGTCCACTGTGCACCACTCCATCGTCTTGAATCTTTCTTTCTCTCTCTCTTTCTTCCCGATGCTGACATAATAAACTTGCAGGGTCCTTTACCACGTGTGCCGCAGCAAGGCCCCGCTGCAACGCTCATGATGATCCACTTGCTCTAGGAGTCTCAACCCTCCTAATCCTGCTGCCTCCGCATTGGCCAGTCTTACCGCCTGCTTGTTCTCGTGCAAGGACATGATACTACTTCAGGCCGACGGCTGTCCCACCGGGTGTGGAATCCCAGCAAGCTACTCTTCCAGCCAAGCTACAGCACTACTGCAGCAGCTGCTGCTACAACTTTTGCAGTCTAGGCGCATCATTAACAAGGGGACTAACTCAAGGGTTTCAGTACTGTATTAATACTCCTGTGAGGTGATGAAGTAGAGTCTAGTGTGAGATTCATCTTCCAGATTGTTGTATTTTTTGTTCTTTTCGTAGGTGATGCTGATGATGATATTGATTCTTGGGCTTTGGGCATGGGATGGGGAGAACTGGGAGTGAGCTGAATAGGGAGGTGGGGTTGGGTGGGGATGGGTTGGTAGGGGTTCTTACACAATCCCAAGCGTGTGGATTAATGTTGTTTTGTTCTAGTAAACCAAAAGTAGTCCTTCCCATGGCAGTGCCCATCCCCTTGCTCCACATGCCTGCTTACTTTTGGTGAGCACCAGGAACTGTAGTTGGATTCCCTTGGGCCATGCTCTGCTTCACAGCTACAAAGACACATGAATCAGGGTTCCTTTCTCAGTTGGATCAATCCTAGAGGAAAAAAATGATAACATTGTTGATTTTGAGATAATCGATATGTGAGGTGAGCATATGTTTTTGAAATACTCATACATTATTGATGGAAAGTGCTACAGTGCAAAGAAATTAGTGGATAAGTAATTGACTAATTGGCACCAACTATATATATATATATATATATACGCACACTCTTGTATAATAAACTTTAAAACAAGAGTTGGCAATTACAAGTATCTTGGGCACACATTGTTTGCAAATAATGCAACGTTATAATAAGTGCAAATATGCTACTAATACATGTCATTTCTTAAAGTTACATTAATCATTTGAAAAAACTTTCATATGAATATGACCATTTTGTTGACTTGTATAAAAGTTATATACCTCAAACTTCTATTGTTAAGAAACACTTTTTGTGCTAATTAAGAATTTAACAAAATTTTATAAAATAAATAAATAAATATAATACAAGGTAATTTTTTCTGATAGTCATGCCTTTCTTCTAATAGAACATCAAATAAGCTTTGAATTATAATATTTTTTATTATCTTTTGAATACTATCTATCAGTGTTTTAAAAGTGTGTTTTGTTTTGTATTTTTTTTTAATATAATATATTTTATACATAATTTATTCAAATTACAAAAGTATCTATCTTATTCTATTAATTCTTTAAATCTATGTCAGAAGATTTTTTATTTATATATATATACATATATCAAAATCAATATCTTAAAAAAATTATATTGATATTATATTTTTTTTACAAATAAATATAATACATAAAGTATCTAATTTATGATAATTAAAATATAATTTTATTAAAAATAAATAAAAATATGGTATATATATATATATATATATATATATATATATATATATAAAAATTAAGTTCATTTTAAAATGCAAATTCCAAGATGGCCCTAATTAAGAGTATTTTATAATTGGTAGTATAGAATAAAAGATATAGTTAAAAAGAAACAAAGAAGAATAAGCAAAAAATGTAAAAATAATGCAATCAAATAATTATACACTCCAAAAACTAATCATAGCTTGTATATTAGATTTTATCTAATAAAAAATTAAATCATAGATAATCTATATTTTTAATAGAGGATTATATTTTATCTTTTTGATAACATCAAAAAAATATAAATTTAAGTTATTGTGAATAAGTTTTGAAGTTTTAAACCTAGAGAGTAAAAAAATAAAAAAATTTAAGTAAATAGGTTTTACTAGAATAATAACTTACTTAAGAGATTAAGGATTTGAGCCTCACCAAAGATCATAAGTTGTGTATATAGATGCCTAAGAGAGGCCACAAGGCCTTAGTCTTATAATCCTACCCACATCCAAGGTACTACAATCCATATGAGACATGTACACTTCTCTTGCTATAATTACTAGTTTAGCTGCTAATCTTCTCATTTTTTAACTACTAAAATCAATTTTTTATATTTTTTTATTTAAACATGGTGTTCAAAAATATCTAATCAGCTTAAATCCTTCTAGGGCTTTTAAATCTTATTCCAATTTTTTATAGTGACCTCCAAAGGTATTAAAATTAATTTTACCAAAGTTCTAAAATGTTTTTAAAAAACATCTTAAATACTTTTAAATAAATTCTAAAATTTCTTTTAACTTTTTAAGATGTTAATTTCAATTTAATTCAATTTTTTTTAATTTCTAGTTTTTTATAATAATAAAATTAATTTATTTAATAAAATAAAAATCTATTTATTTTAATAAAATTTGTACAAATAATAATTCCTTCTAAAATTTGATAAATACTTAAAAAATTAAATAGAATTTTTAACCTTTATATTATTTTATGATTATATATATATATATATATATATATATATATATAAGAGATTGATTTTGATCTTAATTTAAATAATTTAGATAAAAATAATATAAATATATTTATATATTTTAATTTCCAAATAAAAATATAATGTGTTAATATTTCTTATATTAATACTGATATGTATTTTTTATTTATTAATATAGATATTACAAATTATTTTTTACTTGTTAATTAGAATGTCGTCATGTATATATTTAATTTTTTTAGTATATATATAAAATTAATATAAATTATTATTGTAATTTAAAAAATTCATAGAGTATTATCTTCAAAAAAAAAGTTTAATAATATTTCTTATTTTAACAAATACCTAAAATAGAGATAGATTGTATATATAGTCTAAATAAGTTAACTTTCTATACAAACTTCTACCAAAACTTTTCTATCTTTAAAAAGCTATTATAAAAGCCATTTAAAACAAAGACACTTTTGTTTTTCTTTGATAGCTTATACATGGCCTTTGTGGTTGCTATTATATAGAGGCAAAACCAAGGCTATAATAATGTTAGCAATGCCTTTCTTGTGCCTAATATAGTTCAAGTCTCCATAATTTATTTCTATATAGCAAAATAAATGTTTGATTTTTTCTAAATTATATCCTTATCTGATTATATGTATATATGTGTGTGTGTGTGTATATATATATATATATATATATATATATATTTCAAAACCAAATATCAAGCTTTATGTCTCTTATAGTGTGATTAGACTGATATATATAATATTAGGGCTTGATATTTCTTAATAAAAAAAACTATGTATGTTTTAATAGCATCAAATTACTTCAAGGGTTATAAAACACCATTTTTAACTTAAATATAATTTTGAAATTTTTTTCTTATATAAAAATACTTAAATTATAATATTTGTAGAAAAATATATAGAATAAATAATATTATAGCACAAATATAAGAAGAAAAAAAAGCTAATGCTTGCAATGCATCAACTTTATCTACTATTTCAACATGTATTAGAAGTGGCTAATTTAAAAGATACAAAGTTGGTAAGAGGTTTTTAACAATTTTATTACATGAAGTGAGTCATGTGAATATAATTAACAAAATTAGAAAGCTATAAGATATTCTTGTAGAGAAATTTATTTGAATTAGATCCAAGTTTTAATTTCTTATCAACAAAGTGCAACTTTTCATTGAGCTCCAATGTCTTACATATTTTATGTAATTTTTATGTAATTTTATTAAATTTAAATACATTAATATTAAAAGATTTATATATGTATAATTATTTTATAATATTTATGTATATATATATATATATATATATATTAACCAATAAAATATAAGTTTTACAACAAACAATTGGATTGTATTTTCACATGTGTTATAATAATAAATCCAAAAACTAATTTTAAGTAAAAAAGACTTGATGCTTATCGACATTTTATTTAATAGTTATAAAATTATATAGCTAAAACTTCTATCTCTCTCTCTCTCTCTCTCTCTCTCTATATATATATATATATATATATATATACACACACATACATGAAGAAAAAATTTAACATAAAGATAATATAAAGAATTTAATTTAATATAAAGAAAATTTAATATAAAGAAAATTTAACATTATATAATAACACTAACATCAAAAATACAAATTATGTTCATTATTATTGTTATTATTCTTTATTGTGTTGTGAGAAATAATAATAATAACAACACTAATATCAACAATACAAATTATATTTATATTATGAAGAACTAAAATATTTTATATTAAAAAGAAGAAAAATATATATATATATATATATATATATAGTGAAAAATAAATTATATATATATTTTAAAAAATAATTTCTATGCTAAAATAGAAACCATGAGATTGGATTGTTATATAACACCCTCTTGTAAAGGTCATTCATAATGT